CTGCCCCTCAGCTCAAGAAGGACAGGGAACTGCTTGAGAGAGTCCAGCGCAGAGCCACAGAGATGATGAAGGGAGAAGAACACCTCCCTTATGAGGAAAGGCTGAGGGAGCTGGGTCTCTTTAGCTTGGAGAACAGACTGAGGGGTGACAGGAGGATGGAGTCAGACTCTTCTCAGTGATGTCGAGTGACAGGACAAGGGGCAACAGATGCAAGCTAGAGCATAGGAGGTTCCATGTAAACATACGGAAAAATTTTTTCACTGTGAGAGTGATGGAGCACTGGCACAGGCTGCCCAGGTAGGGTGTGGAGTCTCCTTCTCTGGAGACATTAAAAACCCTCCTGGACATGTTTCTGTGTGACCTACTCTAGGTGATCCTGGTTTGGCAGGGGGGTTGGACTAGATGATCTTTCAAGGTCCCTTCCAAACCCTAAAAGCATCAGCTGTGTGGCTGGGAGGAGGAAGCACAGTGGACTGGGAGAGAAAGACTTGGGAGAGTCAGTGGGGAGAAGGGCTCAGGCTCCGGAGTTTAGGTGCTTCTGCTGACTCTATGCATAATGCAATATGTCACTCTAGTCCATTTAAGGTGAGTGTTCATCACACTAAAAGGGAAAACTGACAGGAAACACTGGGCTTTACTTAACAAGTACTGGCACCTTGATTTTGGTTACTCCCCACTGAGAGGAGTTTAAGGTGAAAGAGGAAAATCCGTTCTTCCTGAAATGAAAGGGATGGGAGAAGAGGAGGAAATAAATTGCTCCTCCTTTCTTTCATGTAAAAGTGAAAGTAAACCACTTACTCTGCTAGAAGCTGAGAGAGTTGAGTCTGTTTAGCGTAGAGAAAAGAAGGCTTTGGGGAGATCTTATAGCGGCCTTCCAGTACCTGAAGAGTGCCTACAGGAAACCTGGGGAGGGACTGTTTACAAGGTTGTGTAGTGACAGGATGAGGGGCAATGGTTTTAAACTAGAGCAGGGTAGATTTAGATCTGGTGTTAGGAAGTTCTTTACAATGAGGGTGGTGAAACACTGGCACAGGTTGCCCAGAGAGGTGGTGGAGACCCCATCACTGAAGACATGCAAGGTCAGGCTGGATGGGGATCTGAGCAACCTGATCTAGTTAAAGATGTCCCTGCTCACTGCAAGGGGGTTGGAGCAGATGACCTTTAAAGGTCCCTTCCAGCCCAAAACATTCTATGATTCTAAGCTGAGAGATCATAACCAGCAGGAAAAAGGAAACACATTAGTTTGGGAGGAGGAATAACTGGCTTGCAGTGCCTTTGGTCCAAATACATTACACGGCCATTCTGAGAAGTTACTTGGCTCTTCAGTAGGATGTAGGCAGGCTGATTCTTAAAATACTACCTGAATTCTACAGTATTACAAAGCTAACTTAATACTATCTGCAATTTTGAATTATAATTTATACACATTTTAGAAAATATGACTTCAAAGCTCTATCTTTAGGGAAAAAGAACACGAAGCGGTGCCTGCAATGGATCCAGCACCTTGGCAGGCTCTTCTCGAATGCTGTGTGAGGTGGCTGGAAGCGGATGATGACCTTATGAAGGTCACACCGTGGTGAGGACAATACTCATCCCCACTGCTCCGGAGAAGCAGTAGAGTGACAGTTACTGCTGGCAACTGCTTATAGCCCATGTCAACCTCAGTGTTCACCAAACACTTTGAGAACCTCACTGCTTAGTTTAGAATGTTATGCATACATTGCCATAAACACCATGAACCTTAAAACCAGAATAAGTGCAAAGGGGATGAGGTGACAGCTGAATTTCACTATACTCATGTACTTTTTGACAATACAATCTAGGAATTTATTGCTATTCCAGAACCTTCATTTAGGAAAGATCTACCACTATAATCCTCCAACCAGAATCCATATTTCTTATATATTAATTATAAATTCAATAGTCAAAATACATGAATTTTAATACACACAAGCTATTTTTACTGGATGGGGCTGCTAGAATACAGACTGCAAGAAGACCTCATCTAAGATAATACCAACAATTCTGACAGCTATTCCTTCAAAAAAATGGGAATAATAGAAAGGAATCTGAGTAGCAGAAGACCAAGTAGTTCGTATTCAAAGCTAAAATAACCTGCATAAGCACATTGGAAGAAAACTAGCATTATCATGGTAAACACTAAAGGTACCAAAGCCAAGGATTAAGGGTCATTTTGTCAACTTTTAGGGGAATTAGCAGAGGAACAGCAATCATAATATTCAACAGACAAGTGTCAGAAGTCTGGCAGAGCACAAACTGTCAACTCCCTTTTTACAATGAGTCACATGGAAAAGAGGAGGGGTAACAGGTACACATTACTTCTGGGGAGATATTCTGACTAGACATGAAGAAAATTTTTCACAATGAGAACCATCAGTCATTGGAATAACCTCCCCAGGGAAGTGGTGGATTCCTCAACACTGGACACTTTTGAGATTTAATTGGACAGGGTGCTAGGCCACCTTGTCCAGATCATGCTTTTGCCAAGACAAGTTGGAATGGGTGATCCTTTAGGTCCCTTCAAACCACGTGTTCTATGACTCTGTGAACTCTTACCATAATGGATCTGAGTGCTTGTTCAGAGCATTTAACTCTGTCATAAAATTTCAGAAGACTACAGTCAGCTTGAAATCATACTATCAAGCTTTCCATCTTGAATGTGTGTTCTCTGAAGTCTTTCACATTCATCCTTTCCTGATACAACTTCAGCTAAATATGGTTCTTCAACTTTTCTCTAGTGTATTTGAATGCGTCCTCACACAGAAATCTGGTCTGTAACTGGGAATATTCCCACAGATCAGGGCATGTCTGTTCTAGTATTTTTTTCTTTTTCTTTTTTTTTTTTTTATAAAAGAGCACTGAAGTGTTGGGGAGAAATAAAAAAGAAATAGATTTTTTTCAAACAGGCAAAGAAACGGATGTACTTCTGAGTACTTATCCTTTTACTGTTTTCCTGTAATATGGCTATTACAATATTTACAATCAATGTTTTTCAGAACCAATATACAATGAGTTAATCAAACCCACACAAAAATACGATGGACTGCCTCACTTTACAAAACTACAATCCAAAATCAATTATCCAAAAGGTTCCCCACTGTTTATTAATTCAGAAGAGTCATTAGGTTGCTTAGGGTATTGATCACCATTCATACTACGACAGACCTTTGCCAAGTTGATTTTATAAGTCATCAGGTTTAAGACTGCTACATTTTAATGCACTAGAAAGCGCAACTCACTAACAGTCCATGCTTGGCTCACTCCCAAGAAACAATAATTTCCAACTAAGAGATCATAAACACCATGCAATCCAAATACAGCTGCACAGAACACTAGCAAGGCCATGCAGAGCTGACATACAGTCAGAAGGTTATTGAAGAATACACACGTGGAGTCATACAAAGAAGTCATCCAGGTTGGTGTAGTAAAGCTAGGTATTTGTGGAAGATTAAGAGGCAAACTTGGAACTTTTGGAAGAGCTACATTAGGAAGACTGTTGGTGATGCTCCTGCGAAGAAATAAACAATGTAGGAATACAATAAAAAATAGCATATTTAGAGGACAACGGGGAGAACACTGGATTAGACAGAAAGCTATAGGCAGGTGCTTTGTCCAGATCTTGTAGGAAGGACTTACTTGACAGGTTGCCATGACTCTTGTTCAAGACCTCTGTGAATGGACTGGGCAATTGACGATTCCATGAGATCGATGTAGCGAATGACCATGGGAACAAAAATTTCTTGCAAGTGCTTGTGAAACTTTCCATTGCACAAAAATGCTTTAAAAACAAACAAAACATAAACAAAAAATAGCATCAGGTCTTTCTCTACTTTATTTTACTATAGGAGTAAGTATCTCTTGAAATGTTTTAGTATACAAAAGCATTTTAAGAATAAGATCCAGTTTGTGTAGGAAATGCAGTTCACAAAAGACTAACAAAGAGCTTCATGAGGATACCACCATACATTTTAAACTGTCACTGTGATGAAAGGCACATACCAAAGTTCTTTGTCGAACGAGAACACTTTTGCATCTTCTTAAAATTAATGATACACTTTGCTCAATATAAGCCTCAGCAGTTTTGTTCAATACTTAAGACACCAAGACAGAACATAAAAACCAAAATGAACAAAGAGTATTTGAATGTTACTCGATTATTTTTATTCTCCTTATGCTAGGACGAACAAAGGCTAGAGTAAACATTCCAGCCTCGATGGGCTATGTGTAAAAATACAGAGATATACAGCATTTCTTGCAGATTGCTTGGCGGAAAAAGGCAATTCGTGACATATGAGTGTTTTGGGGGAATAAGAACAGTTTGCTCATTGGCTTTGCATCTTCGGGACATGGCAAAGTCCTGAATCACTGCTGATAGCTACAAAGGACAGTCAATGAAGACTTGAATAGAAAACGTTTTGGTTTGCCTACACACGCCCATACAAAAAAATCTGAAAGGTCAGTGCTCATCACCAGAATCCTGGCTTTTCCCATCAATGGGCCGAGGCCAACGGTGTGAAGTTC